GGGGGGGGACCTCTGGGCGACGGCGTCCGCGATGGCGCTGCCCACAGCCGCGATTGTTGAAATAGTGGCCCAATTCTATGAAGCCCTCAATAATGGAAAGCAACTTGTAGGGGACGGGAGACCCCAAGCGACAGTTAATTGCATTTTTATAGTAATATATATATATATATATATATAAAATATTCCAAATATAAATATAATGGAAATCTGTTACGACAGGAGGAACCATGAACTCACAAGGGAATGCCGCGGTGTGACATGTCCAAACATGCCCTCACTTTTTGCCATTGAATTTACGTGCCCTTCTAATACCACGATATACATTTTGGCTGCTGATAAATACTGCCCATTACTTTAAAAATTTCCAAATTTGCGAACATTTTCGTATTATTTTTCGTTTTTAAAGAGAACTTGGGCAGCCCTGACATGCCGAGCGGCGAGCGCGCGGGCGCCGAGGTTGGCGTTGTAGAGGGTAGTTTCCTCAATGTCAAATGACATTTGGTGGGAGCAGGCCATTCCCATTACTCTCAATGCTTTTCTTATTGTATAAGTCTATTTTATTTGAAATATCTTATTTCCTTTCCAATGAAAGTTTGTTACTTTTTTCATTATTAATATAGTCAATATGCATAATTATCAAGTATTGAAAACGTGTACCATAACTACTGTACCACTTTATATTTAAATTATGTAAAGAAGAGATTTAAGAGTTGTTTAGTGAATCAAATTCACAAGTCATGGCCTCATTTTGGCGTTTTGCTCGCGAAAATTACAGGTCTTTAATCTGTACCTATTAGTGTCCATAAATCAACTCATTCGAAAATTCCAAAAGATTTACAACTTTAACGCACTTTTCCAGTTTGCACCGACCTTTCACGTGTGATTGCTCAACTGACCTGCTTCGCAGTAGACTCAAACCAGAGCTCTCAAATTCGTGAGAAAAGGTCTCCAGCGGAGGTAGCTCATGTTGGATGGAAGATGAGCGGTTGCGGCAAGGTTTATCACGACGAAATATACTTCTTACAAAAATGAACCACATATAAAATTAAAATTCAGAAAAACTTTTATTAGTTTAGACTATGTATAGTTAATATTAGTGTCAATATATGCAAGGAAGGACAGCTGCCTCCCCGCCCGTCCCTCGCAGGAAACGACCTTGGAAGAGTGTCGCTTGGTGTAAGCGGTGGCGTTGAATCACAAGCGAGAGCGCTGTGTAACTCCTGCTTTGCTGGGTTGGCCATTTTCTCATCAATGAAAGCATAGAGTCAAGTTGCAAATTCACTATGTTTTTTTAATTGACTTGCAGTGTGTATCGGCACCCAAAAGTTTGATCGTGAGATTAATACGGCACGTGCTTCCGATGAAAAGAAGGATTAGGATAGGTTTCGACATGTCACGTCGCGGCATTCCCTTGTCAGAGGAATGTGCCACTGAAATGAAGTCCCCAATTAATTTCTTAACCAATAAAAATCTCTCGTCTAGGGTTTTTCGAGCTGCTAGTCGGTTACTCTTTACGTTCAGACATTGACCATACACTAGGCATTAACATATTTGCGGGCTCCTCTGACCTGGGTTCAGCTGAACGCAAGGAGCTCGCGACAACACATACATGAGAGACAAGGGTCAAACAACCATGTCTAAGGCGGGACTCGAACAAGCGACCCTTCGGATCGAAGTGTGAGTCGGTTTACCAGCTAAGCCACCTCGACCATCCAGGTCGGCAATAATTAAAAATAAAGCAAGGGAAGTATGTTATCTTTCAATACATGTGATCATGTTCACATCTAATCGTGAAGGAATGTAAAAGGTAAACTACACCTGAAAGGTGTGAGCGGTTCACACCGCAGATGCAATTACATTATAAAAGGTTATTTTCTCCTAGCCTTCCGCCACATTTGGGAAGAGTTAAAAAAACAATTAATGACAAGAAACATCTACGAAGATGGTTTCCAATGTGAAATATTTCTTTGGACACAATTGCAATTGTTTTATGCTCGACCGCCACATTCTCTCCTGATATCAATATACGATATCAATATACAGGAATAAATGTTACAAACTTCTAGGGCTTATAGTAGGGGTCGACAGTGATTTTTTTGTTGCGAATGAACATGTAGGGGAAAATTTCAATTAGCACGCAAACATTCAATTCGCATCTGCTTCCTGATTTTTAGGGAAGGCAAGATGTTTGGTAGATTACGTTCTGACGCAATGTGGCTTCATGTATCTGCCGATCATACGTGGATACTGCCTGCCTAAAAAACAGGGGAATGCTTATAACTCCGTAAAGCAATTTCCCTCTAAATATTCATTGGCAATCCGTGATTCTAACGAGTCTACAAGCTCTGGACTTTATTGAGAGCTGTATAAATAATAAAATGAACTTTTTCCAGTGCTTCAGAATTAATATTTCAAATCGTAGCTCCGCGGCAGAGGTCTGTAAATCCCATCCCTACTTCCCGGCGAGGCTGCCCACCGGGTGCAGTGTGAATGTGAATGTGCGTGTGGTTAAGAGGAGAGGAAGGGTGAATGATGATAAAGTAAAGATAGCGCACAGTCCGTAATCCCTTCGTTGGGATTTTGTTAAGCGGTATTTACTTGGTATTTATAAGACAAACGGAAAACTACCTATCCGAACAACCAGCCGCCGGTTGAATTTGACTTGGGTAGTGTCGAAAATCGTGTCACCGTCGGGACTATTCCTAGGAACTGTCAGCCACCGATGCTACAGAGGAACACTACTCTGCGTTGCCCCTGAGCCAGGCCAGCCGGTGCGGGAGGGTTTTCGTCCGCGTCACCGTGCTGGGGGGGGGGGGCGGCGCCGGCCTGCGCTCCTGGCGCGCCGCCTCCCCTTCCCCGAAATCCCGTGCCCCACCCCAGCTCCCCGTTCCCCGTTCCCCGCCTCCGCGATCGATGCGCGGCTGGCGGAGTTGCGGCGCGGCGCGGTGGCTCAGCAGCTCGGGTGTCGCTTGTTGCTGGGCGGCGGGGTCGCCGCCCGCCGCTGCGCCAGCTGACCGGCCCAGCTGCGGGGCTCCCCCCCCCTACGCACACACGGGAAGACTCTTCTGCGTTACGAAGCATAGGGAAAAGTATCCTTGACTCCGTGATGAAGAGGGACTGCTATTTCGAGGTCACGGTTCCATTCACAGTGAGTCGATCGATATAATAAGCGTGGCTCACAAAGCAGGCAATCGGGAGGATTGTTTCCAATATTCTTCCAGTTCCGCGCATTCTGTACAATAGTATTTCAATAATGATTGTTAAAAATGCAAATGTCTAGAAAAATAAACCAAAATGTGAATTTCCTATTTGTCATTCATTCAGCATCACTGAATTCTTTCAGCTCTAAAACCCTCCCAATTTTATTTAATTTTCCTTCATTACAATTTTTTAATTGAATATTCAATTTATATTGGCATTCCAAAAATACATTTCCATCTGACAATTTTTTTTTACATTTAGTTGACTCGAGTGTCTTTAATGTCGCTTCTGTCATGCCGAAGAGGCGCAACAAACATCTTGACAGCATAGCAGCAGAAGCAAAGTGCTGAGGAAAACAAAATAAACCCAAAGCGACACGAAGTTAGAGATGTCACTTGAGCCGCGCCTCACTCAATCTGAGACGTTATATCCAAGAATGCTCTCAATGTTTCAAGAAACATAATACCAAATGGCAATTTCATTTCAAACAGACTGACAATGTTAGATGTTCTTTGATGCAATAAGGTATCAAGAGTATAATCGGTGGAGAGAACGCTACAACCCACTTCGTGGTACGTAACAGCTTAGATTTCATACGTGATTAAAGGCTGATGCCTTGTTCTTCAGATGCCCGAGATGGAGTGTGATATGAACCTTGCACTGGTACAGGTGGAACGTTGAGTAGAATTCCATAAATGGTAATGGTAATGCAAGAGCGTTAAAATAATACGAAAACGTATATTGGTAGAATAATTTCAGCAAATGACATGTGTATTATTGTGCACTAAAAATGACATCTTTACTCAATCTCAAGTAAAACAGAAATGTTTATATTTTACAATTCATTGTAGTTGAAGGTGGCACTGATTTTGCCTCAAAACGTTGCTCATTTTAAATGCATAAAAGTCAGCTTTGAGGAAAACAGATCTCAGGAAATACCAAACCTATCGCTTGATCAGGAGGAAACTAGTTGAAATGCAGTGCATTTTGCAATTGTCCTCGCACATACTAGTTTTAATTTAACAGTTCAAATACAACATACCTTGTATTTCAAAACGAATAGTATCTGCATTTCTCCCTTCCCACTTTTACACGTTTTTCTCTCAATCAATATAACGGCAACTAATATTTACGTGTTCATCAAACCCGTTCAGTCGAATTAGGATAACCCTCTCGGACGTTATAGTTATTTTCTCAGTGTACGTGACTAAAAATCATTGAAAATACCCGTTCTCGGAAACTTCGACATTTTCGGAAAGGTATAAATTACCTTAAGCATCTACTCAAATGCGGAATCCGGCTACCTTTTGTTTTACAGTTCTGGCAAATAGAAATCAAAACTCAAGTTGTTCGCAGTTAGTCTAAGTCACCTCCAGTAGGGGCATTAACATGGCCCTCGCAGACAAACGCAGAAAACTCCTAGTGAAGGCGTGCGAGTATTGATATGAGGAAAGTGAAGGTGTTGGTTATCCTTCCCCCTTCCAAAAAGAGAAGACATTTTGCTATGAGTGGAAAGCAAAAACGTGCCTTCCCAATAAAAGTCTCAATGTTTAACAGTTTCAGAAACATTATTGCCACTTTCAATAAACCACAGATGATTAATTTTCACCAAAATGTGGGCTAATCAATGCCTCTTCTTTTCGTTGTAATTTTCTTTCAACTATCAGATTCGCAAATTTATTTTCTTTTGTACATCTTACGCGATAGTATTTTGTTTCTAATACGCGTGAATTTCACGAAAATGTAAAAAAGTAACGTCTTTACGCCATGCATAACTAGAGGATTAAGCATGTACTCACCGTATAGGTAGTAGTGTTAACTGGCGGTGCCTTGGGTACAGGTCGGCGCTCAGCCAAACCGTCCTTGCCGCCGCCGTCCGAGTCTCCTGCAACACACAAAATGCCAATCAGTCCCGGCCAACACGAGATTACGAGCCCAGAGCTGTCGCTGGTACCGATACAACACTCAATAAATCGCACACTATCATCAGTTGACTCTTCTGTGATAAGTAGGTACTATCTGGGTAGATGGGCGGTGTTGACTCTGACGTTGCTACCGCCGATGCTCGGAAAGGTTTATGAAGCTAATCCAAAATCGAGGTAGATTTCATTGCCCTCTACAATATCTTCCTGGTTAAAAACCAAGACCCATACGTTAAAGGAAAGTTTATTGATTATAAAGAAGTAAAGATCGTATTTTTAAGAACTTTCAAATAATCATTACCAGTTGACGATTGAAGTCTCAATTTTAAGCAAAAATTGATACTATCAGGGATTATATTATTCAGGGAGTCATGTAGAAGGCATGTAGAAGGGCAAAATAAAGAGGAAAAGAAATTAAATATAATAAAAATATGACCGACACGAGAGGACACCCTGGAGAGGACTGAGCTCCCGTGGCAGAGAATTGGAAGATGCCCGTACGGGCGGGCTGCGCACACGTATGTGCGATTTCTAGGAACACAATGGACCTTATCTTGGATATAGACGACGAAAGATCTACTATATCAAATTCCAGAAGAACCAAATCAGATTTCTGCAAGAGATGTGGTAACAATCCCTTCACGCTTGGAGGATGGTTGTTAGATCCCATTACTGATATGCAAGGAAAATTTTGTATGGAAAAAATGAATTTAATATTAAATAAATTCAATTGTTTTCTACTATTAATTAGAGCATAATGAATTCTTAATATGGGAGCTTGATTTCCCGTCATTTTTTACTCGTTACCCCTACTCTCTACAGAATAACACTTCGTTTTCTCTGCAGCTTACGTCCTGTCTGGTCAGTCACTTTTCTGCACCAATCAAAACGGAGAAAAAAACTATTGTGTAAAATAGGGTCTATACATCAACGGAATCAAAACTTTTTTTTATCAAAATTTATCTTAGTTTTGAATTTCCATTGCATCTCCATCTCTTGACATAGTGACGAGAAAACTTTTATTTTGCATTCTTAATTTGAGCAATGTGGCATTCTAAATATATATTTTTAATTACAACACTTTTAACACATTTCAAATTCTTAATATTAAATAAGAATAGTAAAGAGAAATATGAACCAGACTTCCGTGTGTGAACGAATGTTAAGGAAATGTAAACCCGCATAATTTCCTAGTAGTTTAAGTAAGAGTAGTTTGTAATGACTTATACTATAGAAAAAACGAAGGGAAACTAGAGTGAAAGAGATAGAAAATAAAATAGGCTTAGAGAATTACGCCGGTCTCGAATGGCGTGCGTCAGCATCAATGGATGATAAAGAGAGAACGAGTTAAACTCCGATGAAAATTCATTCAGTCTATCTGCAATTCATGAGCATGGAAGTTCCCAGAATGCCCTCTCGGGGCCTCACAGTCAGGATTTTGCAGTCGCAGTGTAGAAGTATTTTAAAAATTGAACTTTATCTATTCCCAGACGAGATTATTTATTCGCTCACTAATTGAAATGGAACGACGCGATGTTTTTTCACACATTTTCTCTCCAAAAAACTTTTGTGTTCTGTTTGAAGCACACTAACATATTATACGACAAACAGGAGCGTGTCGTTTCAGCTTAGTCATATGTAACCCTCTCCACATAACCTTCATTTATTGCACTTGCGGTAAGTCAGGAACTTCATTATTTCACCAGTGTAGAAACGAGAATAAAAAGAGGTTTTGAAACATTCAAAACGTTCGAAGTACGTAGCAGAAGAATAAACTGAATGTGGTGTGTAGCAGTTGACCAATAGGAGTCAGCCGAATCAAGAGGATTCGGGGAAGAAACATTTACAAGTATTAGGAGTATTACGGAGTAGAAGAGTAATTACGAGTATATAGGAAATATATTCGTGAAAAAGAATAAGCAAGTTAGTGGTACTGAGAATACAACAATAGTGTACTAAGAATTTTGATGTCAAAGTAGGGTGACATTACATTCCTAACAGTTCTTACGGGAAACAAAAAATGACTTGCATTTATAATTATGATTGAATAATGAAACTATTTTTTTTTATTTCTGTTAGTAAATCATTTCTCTCTTGCACCAAGTCTTCTCCTAATGTTTGTGAAGGTGAAAATTTATTTTATTGCGGTTATGTAGACGTTGCTTCCTTTCATATGCATCCAAATTCTCGTCCTCTCTGAGAGGTAGTATCTAAACATGATTCATTGATAGATTTTCACAAAATAAATTATTTCTACCTCACTACAATATTATCATTAACCTCTTCCCTCACTGACTTTTCGAACCTGTCCCTATGTCCTAATACTATCTTCCTGCTTGATAGATTAAGAGCCAAAATTAAAATGACAATATTATTTTGAGATATAGCCAGAACGGTTACATGAATATCGTATGACCTCGACATAATGCACCCCAATTGTTTAAAATGCAGGAAAGGCACAAAATGAAAACTAGGCGCTTCAACAAAAACTTTGTTGAATTATTTGTTGCTTTGCAAAATTTGAAAATTCAGAGTTCACTGAAAACACTGGACGAACACTGTGAATTTCTTAAATGGCTAACTGTAGCTATTTCTTACATACTTTGCTGTGCTAAAGCCGAATACAACCACAAAAGTTGCCCACCGGGCTCAGTTTTTGTTTAATCGCACATATTCTAAAATAATATATTTCGCAGAAATCCACCTCTCGTTCATGCCGAGACGCTAGTTGCTTGCGTGTTTATTAGAAAACAGTGGTTGCCAACAATGTATGATAATGTAAATTCCCCTAAAGATAGCAAGCAGCAAATTTGTGCAGTTTTGTGAACGCACTTAAAGTGCAATGCGCGTTCACGCCACCGCGGTGGGACCATTCCTACCCTTACGGGCATCTATGGCCTATCCTGTAACATAAAGAGAAAAAACAAAGGTCAAAAAAGACTTTAGCCTACCGGCGCGCGCATTGCGTGTTTTGTAATACTACGTTTATGCCCCAGTCCCACTTCTCTGTTTCAGATTGCTCTTACTCCCGAAAGTGTTTCGGTCGCCTATACTTCGCCCTTAGATCGGGTTCGTATGAGGCGATCGCGGAAATGAGATAATTTAAAGATAGCAAATAGATTAGAAAGATAGCAAATAGATATTTGCTAAAGATAGCAAATAGACGCCAGACCGGTCAAATCAGTTGAGCAACTTCAGGAATAGCGAAATGAAGTGAGGTGATTCATGTATACGACGCGCTGACTCGGCGACATGTTAGTTGCACCCTGCGTGTCGAGTAAGAAAGTCGATATTACTGTGAAGTGCACGACTCATTTTCACGTTGCGTTCGAGTGTTAACTTTTCACGAACAGATTCCTTGCAATGCCGCGACAATGTACAAAAACCATCCAAACAATTTGTTATGTGTGTGGTGAGATAACTTTAAAGAACGAAAGGCGAAATATTACTCCCTTGATAAGAAAGGCATATTATATTTCGGGGGTAGAATCAGTAAACAGTACAAATAGTGGGCTCCTTATATTTGCTGTGTGTCTTAAGTAGTATTAGTGTTGGGGTTAACAGAAATTCACGACCTATGCCACTTGCAATTTCCATGTTTTATTATTATTATTATTATTATTATTATTATTATTATTATTATTATTATTATTATTATTATTATTAAAGATCGCATCAACTACTAGGTCATTAGCGACCACTATTGCTTGTAACGGTATGGTAACTGTGGGGATGACACGATAATGATGACAGGTGGTGAAAGGACGAACATGCCCGAGGCGGAACCCGCGATCTTTTGGTCCGAGATCGATACGGCACTACTGCCTTACCGATCCCGACCACCGGATCGGCTACTAATATTTTTGCAAATCACAGCAAACCCGATACAACTACAGCTACTGGGAACTACAACTACTGTGCATCGTTGACGGGAACACGACCTCTGATGCTTGTTCTCCGAAGGCAATACAAGTGTATCGCATTGCTTTTCTAGATTCACACTTAAGACTTCTTTTCTGAAAATTTCGGCGCTGTGAGTGACGCACACGATGAGTGATTTCACCATGACATTACAGCAATGGAAAAACGTCATCAGGGAAAATGGAATCGAAGTATGCACGCAAACTATTGCTGGACACTAAAAAGGGATGTTTTTCAAGCGAAATACAGTAAAAAAGCGTTCAAAACAATGTTATGATTGGTATTGTTATATGCAAGGAATGTAAATAAAATCACTGTACAACAGTATGGAATTTTTAATCGCCGATTACAAAGAAACCTTGCCCTTTACAAATAAATGCCCTACAAATTTGAAATGTGAGCATCGTTTTCCATAAGAAACAGCTATTCTATTCCATTTAACAGACAAAAAGTTAAATTTTGTCGATTAATGAAATGAGACCTGCATCATTTTTGCACGCGTACTTCGCACTATCCGAGAACAAAAGTTTGAAGAAAAAATACAATAAATTATTGAAATATTAAATTACGATTTTTAATATTACAAGACGGACGAAGAATTTGGCACTTTATTTACTTTCAGGTATTTTTCTAAGGAAACGAATTGAGAAGAGATTTGTAGATTATAATTACGTCAAAAAGAGGGCACTCGTTGTAGATACACGTTAACAATTTCTGCGCACTTGCGCAGCGAACGCGCTTTAAGTGAAATCAACGCTTTACTCAGTGTGGGTAATCAATCATAATGGGACAACTGAAGGCGGTCACTCAGAAATGAACTTCTCAATGTTCGTGATGCTTCTACGATTGCGGAGCGAATGGCTGCCACGATCCCACAACGAAATGACGCACATGATAAATGCCCGCAGTAAACATATTTTAACCTCAATTGACCGAGTATTTTCCCTCTACTAATGTATTCGAACGTGGTGTCCTCACTGAAGATTCACAGTTTTCTCTCTTCTGTTCTTCATTACAATATTCGTTATTTAGTTTTCAATTA